GGATAGACCATCACGTGTGATATTTCTTACTTGTGAAATAAGTGGTTGATCTCATAAGCTAAAGTGTGATGATACTTGAATGAACACGTGGATATTTTGTTATAGAACAAAACATTGGAGACCCGCCTAGAGATTCCACATGGATAACTATCTAAGTGCCAGTGATTAATCTCTAACGTTCAGTAGTGAGATTTGTCCTTTGACTTGAGGTCGTCATAGTATCTTATATGAGGACAGTCATGTTTTGACGGTGTTGGATATTACTCTGCCAAGGACCATTAATACGGCATCGTTCGGGTATGTCAAGAATCGTATGAAGGTTGTGAATGACCAATAGAGAATTCGTCACTTTTAGATAGTAAGAGATTATAATCTGCCTTTCATTCAATTAAGTCGATAATGAAATCTTTGGCCAATGTGTACTCATAAGTCGAAAAGGAGTATCGACTTATATTGACTTAATAGTGGAGTGAAAGATATGATCAATAATCGAAATTGACACACTTCCATATCTAGTAATTGATCGGATTATATTGACGAACAGATTATAGTTTCACGGTAAACGAACGAGCTTGGTTTTGTCATACCACGTGACATTTCTCGTCACATATATTATCCTGACACATTACTAGATGTCAATTTGGGACGGCGAGTGTAAATTGGTGATAAAGTAAAAGGGTGTTTTCATTTATCAATTTTGATTAGATCAAAATAATATTTCACGTCGTTAGGCATCGTGATCGGGAACCTGATGGATCGCATACAAAAGAGAATTGGAATATTGTAATTTGTCAATTAATTATTTTAACAATCGTTAAATAAATTAATTAATTGGGTTGATTATTTATAGGCTCGAATTAATTAATTGGATTAATTAATTCACGAACCGAATTTGGTTAAATGAATTAATTAAATATTGGATCGAGTCAGGTCAAGCTCGTTTGGGCTTATATAAATAACTTATTAGAGTTTATAATTTAGTAGAGAATTCATTATTCTTGCTAGCACAAGAAGAAAACACGAATCTGTAATCTTGTTCTCTGTTTAGATTATCGTTGGAGACTGGACAATTGGACAACTGTGAGAGACAGATCCAAATTGTTGGAACAAAGATATGACAAACGAATTTGCAGATCTTGTAAAAGGTACATCTTTATCACAATTTCTATCTAAACATAAAGACGATTTTTGATGGGACTCGAAATCTGCTTTAATTTTTCGCTGCACATGTTAAGTAGATTACCAACACCAAGTCTCTCCGAGTTTCTTAGTTTTCTCTATGCACAAAATACATCTACTACAGATTTTATATTGCCACAGTTACACAATCAATTTAGTAAAGAGTCGGTAAAATTTTCTAGTCAGTATATTAGCTACCAGCTCACTCATCAATTGACAGCAATCTGATTAGCTGAAATCAAGAGCCATAAATCAACATAAACACACAATATCTTAATCGATGACAACGATGCTGGAAGCAAAGGTGCCCGAGCCAAAGATTTATGGACTCATTATTAAATCTAATAATATCATAACTTTTGATATTTTTTTAAGTTCTATATTTTCATCAAAATCTTTGATGTTTTATTTTCGTAATTTTCCTTTTCTGGGATTTTTCTATCATATGTTGAATTTCTTGTTTCAGTGTAATTGCTTTTTATAATGTCAGTAGAGTCATAACAAGTGAACAATTTGTCTCAAATACAGTTGTTTAAGGTATTAAAGTTTGATTCTTAATGAGTAGAACTGGCAACACAACGTAATATATAGGATGAAAGTGAGTATTAAATACCTTCTAGACAACATTTATAGTAGTCCCCTTAAACTCTGTAATGTCTTGTGTTGGGTTAAGGATAAATGGCTACTGGATGAATGTGGCATAAATTAGGATAGGATAGATGTGTGGTCATCTTAGAATATATTAAAAAAAGAACTAATTCAGGACTAATTCAGGGAACAATGACTTCGATGCTTGGAGCATGTCTTGTTATCCAATAGAATAGTTTAGAGGAGCTAGAGTTACAACGAAATTAATATGGCTTGATGTCGTTCCAAATAATTTGGTTTCATTGGACCCCTAAGATATAGTGTTGGATAGAAGACACTGATAAAAAATGATTTAACTGAACCCTGAAGGGTAGCTCAATAGTCAGGCCTTGTGTTTGTTCTCCAATGATTACCAGATCGAGTCCCCTCAAGATCACTGAAGTGAGTATTCGACTGTAAACTTCAGGGCCTCGTGGGATTAGTCGAGGTGCGCGTAAGTTGGCCCGAACACCCATGGTCATAAAAAAAAAAAAATGATTTAAGTGACCACAATGTTTATTGGGAATAAAGCATAATTTGTTGTATAGATTTTGGGTTTAATTTGAGATGGAGCAACTTTCACCAACAAAACTGCAATTTTTTATTAATCTAATAACAACTAACAACAGATGTACTGCCCATCAGAAAAAAAAAAAAAAAAAAAAGATGTTATTTTAAAACTAACTAGGAACAATCTACATAAACTTAAGAAGTTACTGTTTTTTTAATTATAATGTAAATAGGAAATAATTGGATCTTGATTATTTTGGTCCTGAATTTGTGAATGATGGTGGCTTGGTTATTTGTGTGTGGTTTAGATGGAAGCGGTTGGTTGGTTAAGATTTATGGATTTGGGAATAAAAGATGGTTAAAGTAGACCGACTTGCTCTAATACCAAGTGGACGCATGAACATATCAATTTTATAACGAACTAAAAAAGGAACATGAAAGAAAGGGGTTCTTAGAAGAGAAGAAGAATTTAGGGCAAAGAGAAAATCAAATTATTCATATATTTCAGGGTATCTATTATAATGAATAAACCTTCTCTATATAGAGCAAAAAAACTAAAAGAAGTTAAAATCAAACAAACTTCTTATAAATAGAACTTTATTGAAATATTAAAACTAACCTTTTCTAATTTAAACAAACATAATTTGAATTAAACTCTATTTTAAAATTAGATTTAAATCTTATCTTTATTTTATCTCCTTCAATAGTGTTTGCTTAAAGTACGAGTGAAGTGATTAAAAATTGTGGAGCTGTCATCGTTTATGATGGTATCAATCCGTCCTTGGTTATGCAAAAGATTCTTGGATTTTCAAAAATTGACAACCTTCTTTGATTTTCAAGTTTTCTCCTTAGGGTTTGAGTCTACCGACGATGGAGTTGATCGTAGTACAATGCATAGTCATCATGGTTTGCCATAGCGTGAAAAAAAAAAAAGAAGAAAAAAAAAGAGAGAGGCCTGTTAACAATTGAACTACGTTTTTGAAAGTGTTGTTTTGGGTGGACCATCAACTTTTTGGTTTTGAACCGATGCAAACCATTTAGAAATGGTTCAATAAAACCATTTGAGCCAAATTGAACCATTTAACATAATTAAAAAAAAATTAAAATCAAAATTGAAAAAACGATTCAAATTAAACCAAATCCACTATTAGTCTCTATTTCACCTATTCAGTGATCATTATATCACTTATGGAGTTAAACATGCACCCACTCTAATCCTCCACTTCGAAGTTCGAATTTCCTAACCCTAACCATGGAGTTATCATAATTTGAACAAGTTTGCTTGTTTTCCCAGCAATTAATTTCCATATGGTTCATGTGTCTATTGTGATGTAGTTTGAAAATTGAGTTATTTCGTATGTTTAGCGATGCATCTAGACATAATATTGCACACATAAAAGCTATTTTTTGTTGTTCCCTGAATTTACACTTGACATTAACATATATTATCCATTGAAGTTGTTTCTTCTTTTAAACTATTAAATTTCTGGGCGATATTTTGGGTGATTATTTTATTATGAAAGTCAACTAGCGAAATTTTTTTCAATGTATGGAAATTCTACTTCAGAAGTTTGTACTTGGATTGTTGAATTATTTGTTGATTGACGATTTTAATACTTGTATATTTAAATTTCAACATGCTTGAAAATGTTACTTTTATGTCGCTATGTAAACTGTGGTTTGAAACCGAACTAAATTGCCAAAAATGGTTTGTTTTGGTTTGGCAGGCGAAACAGTTCGGTTTGATTTGGAATTCTCCCAAAATGTTATAAATAGTGGTTTGAAAATAGGCTAAAGAAATTGCCAAAACTCTAGTCGTTTTCACCCGCAGTTTGCCAATCTCATCCATAGTGTTGAATTCATAAATTTTATGGCTTGCTGATATGCAGGACGTGTGATGATGACTTGAATACTTGTTGGCATGCAAGGAAGAAGCACAAGGTAAGTTGGCTTTCTTGGAGACAAATATCTCTGGTGTAAATGGAAATGTGTTCGTCTGCTTGAGAATTGTCTTTGAGTGCACATTCTTACAATCCATAGCAGTATTGAATCAGATAAAGAAATGTTCGTTTTATGACAACTATTTTAGAACTTTCACTACACCAAAAATTGCCTTTTGCAGTGGGCAAAAAACGTTGCCATTGACCTCTTGCAGCGTTTGGGTGTATGTTGCGGGTTTTGATATGGCCGTAGAGTGGAAGGTTTTGGTAACGTTCTTTGCGTGTTGTCTTAAGTTTTTCACAACGTTCTTTGCGTGTTGTCTTCAGGTCTTTGGCAACGTTCATTGCTTGTTGTCTTAAGGTCTTTGGCAACGTTCATTGCGTGTTGTCTTAAGGTCTTTGGCAGTTCGGTGCATGTTGTCTTAAGGTTTTTGGCAACGTTCTATGCGTGTTGTCGTTTCTTTTTGGCAACGTTCAATGCGTTTTGTATTAAGGTCTTTGGCAACATTCATTGCCTGTTGTCTTAAGGTCTTTGGCAACGTTCATTGCATGTTGTCTTAAATCTTTGGCAACGTTCATTGCTTGTTGTCTTAAGTTTTCGACAACATTAAATGTGCGTTGTCGTTTCTTTTACCCCTTTTTTGGCACATGTCCGCCCTATCCTTTCCTAATAATAGTTCTCCATTTTTACTATTTCTCTATAAAATATTGACAAATAAAATTAAAAACACTAAGACTACGAAATTAAAATTATAACTTCATTATAAAACATTTAATCCGTACACAATAAACATAAAACACGTACAATTACTTCTTCAAAACACAATAAAACGAGAGCCAAAAAACTAGCAAATATGTCAAGAATATACACAATGAGTCAACTAGAAGATTTACATTAGAAAAGCTAATGCCAAACACTGGAAGGCAAAGATTACTCTCACAATCGGCTCCACCCATTTAACCAAAAACGGTCACAAAACATCCGGAAACAAGCTGCTTACATAAATGAGGTCCAAGAAGGCACATGCACAAGAGAACTCAATTTCAAATTCTTCTCTTAACTCAGCTTGACTCTATTTAACTACAATAAGAAAAGAATATAGATGTTAGGTACATTAATTTTTTTGATAAGGAGGTTAGATACATTAATTAATAATTTAGGAAACTCAAATACACACAACATTAACTATGTGTCCATCATATTCAGAATAAAGATACATAACCTGAGGAGTAAAAGCACGTGAACTCATGTCATTTACATTCTTATTTTGACTTTGTAAAATAATAACATAATTAAAAAGTTATTCTATGTAGTTATGTAAAGCTATCTTATCATATTATATATAATGATAAAGTATGTAACCTGAGATAACATCAGAAGTGCTTCAACTTTTTCTTCTAGTGCTCCAACCCTTTCTGACTGCGTTTGTAGTTGGCTTTCAAGTTCTCTCACTTGAGAATTACTTTGAATTTGCTCATCGACCTTTGATAGTGTAACTCCAAATCCAAGTCCCCTTACTCTTCCATGACATTCAGGACTTAGAACTCGAGCAACAACATCATCATGAATTGAATCTTCTGCTGGTGTATCGAAAATAGATTGAGCGCAAGCTTCTATCTTTTTCTGCAGTTATGGAACTTAATTTTTATATTAGCAAGTGATACACATAATAAGTTTAATTATTATTAACAAAATTCAGATATAATACACATACCAAAGTGTCAGCAACAAATTCATTTATAGGTTTTCCATCCCTTCTCAGATGTCCATGAGTCCAGACTCTAGTTCTTAACCCTTTCATCTCTGGATACTTTTTTTCTGCAATACAAATCGTGTCATTAGATATACTAGTATTGGACATATGCAAGAAACTTGATATAAACTATAAGGAATGAAGATAAATAAGAAAATCATTATAGCTAGGTACAGAAGTAAAGATAGTTTGTATGTGTACCAAATCGTAAGTCGTACGTTGATAATCCTTTCGACCCATAATGTGTAGAAGCTTCTGATTAGCTCTCATTTTGCTGAACTTGGTACTTTTTTCCTATTAAGAGAACATAAAAATTGAACAATTAATCAACTAAATTTTAAACTCAATTAGAAAATACAACTTACTTGAAAGTCAGTAGAAAGAGTATCTTCTACAAACTTCTTCCATGCTTCTTCGGAGTTTACATTCTTCGGTCTAAAAAGGAAAATAGCGCGTGTTTTATTCATAGAAGATGCTGTTTGAATTCTGATTTGTTTTCTCAATCTTGATTTGTATGGCTTCCAGTACTTTTCCATTTGCTGAAATGTCATTTTTTTTATGGAAATCACTCACATTGAACCTTTGTTGTATTTGTGTACAAATATAAGAAATGATGTCATTAGGAAGGAAATAGATAAAATAAAGAAATTAAAGTTATAGTATTTATCAAGTACCTGTATGAAAGTCTAAAGTTTCATTTTTTTAGTATCACCTACAGACTGCCAATCCTTAAATACAACTGGCACATACTCTCGTACTATGGCTCCAACCATGCTAGCAAATTTATCAGAGTTAGTGCCAACTACTTGTCCGATTTCATTAAATTCAAGCTCCATCTTATAATTCCTATTTTCAGGAACTACCTTACTTAGGTTGGACCCCTTTTCTTTTTTGAAGCATCTACATTTGTCGGCAACGCATCTTACTCATTAATAATTGGAGTTGATGCAGTATTTTTTGGTTCACTCAAAAGTCTTAGTCTTTTACTGGTCTCTTGAATTACAATGGCAATTGCAGCTCTTCGATGTTTTGAACTTTTTGAAGCTTGCTTCGTTGACTTAAAGAATGCAACATGAAAACAAAATGTAATTATCCTCTTGTTGACAAATGTCTTAAGAAGTATAAAAAACATACATATCTGAGCTGCGTCCATTGTATAACGTATATTACTATCAATTAGCTTAGAGCAAATCACTTCAAGAGTACAAAAATCTACAAACAAAAAGAGAGATTTACCAAACTAATTAATCATTATAACAAGCTCTGTGGTGAAGTTATCACATACTAAAATAAACTTCAAAAGTCATACCAAAAGCAATTGATCTACAAATACCTTTAGATATAAAACATGTCATTTATAAGGATATTTACCACACTAATTAATATAAGTATCACATAATATGCCTTCGACATCTATTCTTGCATAATTCTCATCCTCATCGTGATTGTCTTCAAGTTGTGCTACATCTAAAGGAATAGTTGCCTCGTGAGAAGTATCTTCTTCCGTATGTAATGTGTGAAAGTCTCTTGGTGACACTTGCAAAGCAACATACCAATTAGATGTTTCATTCTATCTAGAATAAAACACTTGTTTTGCCTGTGATGCCAAAATGAATTTCAAATTGTCTGTATCCCTCATGAAGATTAACCAAAGTGAACCCATCTTCCTTTTTTATTCCATTCATGATATTTGCCCAATCACATTTGAATATTGGAATATGAAATGCATTGTAATCAAGCACTATAACATCGCGTAGAACTCCATAATAAAGAACCTTCCCAACGGCATGTGCATTATCTTTTGTACTAGATCTACAAATGGTTGTTGCTTCAACTAAAATGCCACTATTTTCTCAAGACTTTTCTGCATCTTTAGTGTGAAATTGAAGACCATTTATTACAAAACTAGAATATGATATGGACTGACATCTAGGACCACGTGCAAGCCACTTTAAAGTATTTGTAACATTGTCCAGCAATAGTTGACCTTTGATCTGTTTTTATTTTAAACATGTTAGGAATAAAAGAATAAACAACATAATTAAACATTATAAATTTCTTATATGTATGTCAAACCTTATCATCCAGCTAGGCTGCAAAAGAGTTAATGTGTTTCTTTTGCAATAAATTCTCATTTCGTTCAAGTCGTTTGTCAAAACTCTGGAGTTCGTCCATATGCATCCTAAGTGGAAAACAAGCTATCAAAGAAAAAAAAAATTGGTCGAAGAACTTAAAATGTAATAACATAGTTATTTCACAAATGTACTATATGTAGGGTGCCACTTTTGTACTATTTAGCAATACATAGCGATGGACAACTTTCAACATCTCATCTGGTAGCACAATCGGCTTCACATTAGAATTTGTGCGCCCTACAACTAAGAAGTTACTTTCAAATTCTTCATTGCATGAAGGCTTAGAGCCTATTTTGGATGCTTGTTTTATGTATTTACTACAAAATCTCTCATTTTCTTCAACAATGTATCGTTCATCAATACACCCTTCAGGTCGTGCACAATTCATGACATACCCTTTCAACAATTTCATATACCTACACATTTACCAAAAATCTCATAAAATGTACAACCAAATTGATAACAAATTTCACTTTTGGGAATAACTTAAAGGAATATTACCTCTCAAATGGGTACATCCAACGATATTGAACTGGTCCACATAGACAAACTTCTCTTCCAATATGGATCGTTAAATGAACCGTAATATCAAAGAAGGAAGGTGAAAAATATCTTTCCAACATGCATAAAGTTTCAGAAATGTCCTCTTCTAAACGTTCAACGTTATTCTTATCTACAATTCCTTGAAATATTTCATTAAAAAATGAACACAATTTAAAAATGGAGTTCCTTAGTCCTTTAGGTTCCTCTCAATGCAACTGGTAGTAATTGTTGCATTAAAATGTGACAATCATGAGACTTGAGTCCAACTATCCTACATTCTTCCACTGAAATGCAATTTCTAATATTAGAACCATAACCATCGTGCAATTTCATGTTAGTGAGCCTTTTGCAAAGCATTTGTTTTTCTATTTTTGATAAAGTGTGAGGGGCAGCAGGTAAGTAGAATTTATTTCCTCTTCTCTCAGGATGTAAATCATGCCTAATGTTCATCACTTTCAAGTCCTTACGAGAGTTAATGCCATCTTTAGATTTTCCTTTCACATCCAAAAGTGTACTAATAATGCTCTCGCAAATGTTCTTTTCCACATGCATTACATCCAAATTATGACGTATAAGTAAAGTCTGCAAATTAAACATTAATCATGTCACGATATACTACCTACCATTATGAGTATTAATAAAGTAGAAAGAAATATTACTAGAGCTACCTTCCAGCATGGTAGCATGAAAAACATTGACTTTTTCTTTCACGTTACATTTGATTGAGTTGTATTCTTCTTCTTCTTTCGCATACCACTTTTTCCCCAATCATATGCAATTTTATCAACTTCATTAAAATCTTCTTCACCATTCTTTATCTTCAGCCTAATGTCATTTTCAATACGCCTATTAAACCAACTCTTTTTCATGCGAAATGGATGACTCAAGTCGAGAAATCTTCTATGTCCTATGTATGCAAACTTCCTACCATGTGACAGCCATATGGAACACGTATCTTCACGACAAATAGGGCATGCGATTTTCCCTTAACGGGCCATCCATATACATTTCCATATGCAGGAAAGTCATGTATTGTCCACATCAAAATAGCTTTTAGGTTGAATGTAGATTTCGTAACTGCATCATACATCTCAACCCCATCACTCCATAACAATATTAAGTCGTCTACAAGTGGTGTCAAATAAACATCTATGTCATTACGAGGCTGCTTTGGTTCCGGGATCAATAAACTCAACATCAAACTTTCCTTCAACGTGCAAAATGAGGAAGGCAAATTATATATAGTTAAAATTACTGGCCGACAACTATATTTAGAACTAAGATCTTTTAAAGGATTAAATCCATCAGTTGCAAGACCTAATCTAATATTTCGAGGATCTGATGCAAAATGTGGCCATATTCTATTTATCATTTCCCAACTTAATGAGTCAACTAGATCCTTAATTTTACCGTCTGAACTTTTTTTATTTGAGTGTCATCTAAGTTGTGTTGCTATCTCATCTATTTCAAACATCCTCTTGAGTCTTGGTATTATAGAAAAATAACGCAAGACTTTTGCTAGGATTATTTTTTTTAATTTTCTTAGTCCGTTGGTTAACTTTCCATTTTGAGCAACCACATTTGGGACAAGATTTAGCATGTTCAAGCTCATTTCTATATGGACAACAATCATTCAAGTAAACATGTATCTTCTCATAGCCAAGGTCAAATGTGTTGACAAGTTTTTTCATCTCATAAAATGAGCCAATAAGTGTATCATTCTTTGGTAGCATTTCTCGAACAAGATTTATAAGTTCATTGAAACCACTATCTAATAAACCATGTGTAACTTTATGTTTAAGCATAGCAATCGAAGCAGACATCTTCGTAAATGTCGTACAACAGGGATACAAAGGTGTTTCGGCATCGTCAACCAAATTTCGAATCTTTCCATCTCTTCCATCAAGAGGATTTTCAAGATCTACATCATGTTGTACATAGAAGTCCCTAAACATCCTATGTGACTCACGTATTTCCACATTGAATGAATTTAATTCACATGGTTATTCTCCATGAAATACCCAAACAGTGTACGTAGGATACATTCCCTTAATAACCAAATGTTCATACACTGTTCATGATGATGGTGCTTTAGAGCATCCTATCATTTCTGAACATAGATTTTCCCGAGCTAGTTTAACAAAATTCTGTGCCCCATCTCTATATTGTTCTGAAAATCTATAAGTAAAAAGTTATAATCATTTTATATTAAAAAGAATTTAAATTTTGTAAGTACATTCAAGAAATCTTATTTAAGACAATAACCTTGATAATTGCAACCATGCTTTGTCCATTATTATTCTCTCAAACACTGAATAACATAAATACAAATTCAAAGCCTCATGTTCCCAAAAGATTGACTGCTTCCTCCGTGTAA